TGGAAGAATAATATAGCAAGTGGATTCAGGTTTGTGTTAGTCTTCTTAAGGAAGGTATATCCCTAAATCTAGGGTTCTTACATTAGAAATTGTTTTTCCTGACCTTTCCTTAATGTGTTAGGAAGACATATTGAGGGAAAGAAATAAAGAGAACTCTCTGACTTCATAAACCTGATTTATGAGATAAGGATTCTACAGAAAATAGATCAAAGTCTGGGACTGAAAATTAGAATTTGAGATTGAGAAGATAGTTTACATACATGAATGTCCATGGAAAGTAATTGGAGAGCTTTTAAAAACTCATTGTTATACAAAATTACATATAAGAGGAAGTGAGGGGAAAGGGAAAATAAAAAAAAACGAGAGAGAAATGAATTACAGTAGATGGGGTAGAGAGAGAAGATGGGAGGGGAGTGGAGGAGAGGGAAGATAGTAGAGGATAGGAAGGGCAGCAGAATACAACAGACACTAGTATGGCAGTATGTAAAAATGCGGATGTGTAACTGATGTGATTCTGCAATATGTATACAGGGTAAAAATGGGAGTTCATAACCCACTTAAATCAAATATATTAAATATGATATGTCAAGAGCTTTGTAATGTTTTGAACAACTAATAAAAAAAAGGAAAAAGAAAAATGTGAACTCATAAAAAAATAAAAACTATGGGTGGTTGGCTGGAGTTGTGGCTCAGTGGCAGAGCACTTGTCTTGTACATATGAGGCAGTGGGTTCGATCCTTAGCACCATATAAAAATAAATAAACAAAATAAAGATATTGTGTCCAGGTATGACTAAAAAAAAAAGCTATCTATGGTTAGGCCACACTCTCAGATGTGAGAACCCTATATAAGAATTAAAAAATTTCCCATGCAATTCTACAGTGCAACCAGCATTAATGTATCAGCCGGGGAGAAAACAAAATTCAATCCAGGTATTTCACACAGGAAGGACTCTAACATTGGGATTCATAGGCTGCAGTAGTATTGGGAGGGTCAAGAGAGGGGAGATTAGGAAAAGCTATCCCTCTTGTTTGGAAGTACAGGAATCTAGGAAACCACCACTGAAGATTATAGTTTCTTAGCTTCAACTAGGTGGTTTGGAGGAGATCTGAAACCCACCAGCAGAACTGCAGGTCTCCTTTCTCCCAAACCCCAGAGCCTTCATGCTATTGATACAGGAAAAAATAATGACTTCACTTCACTTTCCTCCTCAAATTGTCATGTGTCACCTTTTATTATTGGAAGCATCAAGAGTAAACCCTGTGGCTAGGAATTCTAGGGGATGCATAGAAAGGGAGAAATGGTGCAAATCTTTCCATAGATGGAGGACCACCTGCTTTGGGTTGGGTGAAATTCCAACATTCAGAGCATTATGGACTTGGGACTATCAGTAACCTCAGAAAATTGAAATGTTTGTAAAAGCATTTATCCAGATTCAAGAAGACTTCAGGTTAAACTCTCAGTGGAGAAAATGTTGTTCAGTTTTCCAGATTTCTGTAAGTACCAAGAAGAAGTAGGAATATCTTTTTTTTTTTTTTAACGTCCTGTAGCTCCTTTATGTTTTATGTCAGTGAACTTTATTTAAAGTTCACAGATCAATGGCAAAAGAATCTGTGCGAAGATTCTAGTTAAAAGAATTAAAGGCTACACTTGGCAGAGTCTCAGTTGAATCTGTTATCCAAAGGGAAAAGTTTTATATTGGGCATCATGAAAATTTAACTGTGAAAATAGGAAAATATGTTATATTTTATATCTGGTTATACCAAAGTTCATGTTCTTTGTTCTCCACACCATTGTGTCTCTATAAGCAATTGACAGCATGAATTTGGTGGATTCTTTTTTTCCTTTTCATATAAAGACCATAGACCCTTGCAAAGAGACAGGGCATATGTGAAGGGAAGTAAGAGATACCCCTCTGTGTAGGGGTGGCTCTCTACCTGCGCCCAACTGAGAGCAACCATTCACCCACCGGGTATGTTCTCCACTTCTCTTTCACTTCCACTCCCTCTCCTATTCCCTTCTTATGCTTCCTTCTACCTCCTTCCTGTTAAAGGGTCTGGTGGTTGAGCCAGGCAGAGCTGTGGTCAGACCCGTGTGAGATTTCTCAGAGGCAACACAACCTCAGGCACTGTGCCTGTGGGAAAAATATCACCTGACAGGCATCATCCAGCTGCACTCTGTACCTTCCAGAACGTCTCACAATAATATCTAGTGTTTAAAATTAAAATAATGTTTAAATTTAGTACTTAGTACCTTGAGTCTCACATACTTACTACCTTACAGAGGAGATACTCATCATCCCTGTTCTTTACATGAGGAAAGCATGAGATAGAGAGATCAAATACCTTGCTCAATTTCAGCCAGTTGATACCCAAATGATAAACATTCCACTATATTCTGAGATTTTCTAATTACCACATTTGTGTGTGTATGTGTGTGATGTTGATGGAACCCAGGGCATTGTGCATGCTAGGCAAGTGCTTCACCACTGAGCTATATCTCCAGTCCCCTAATTATAAATTTTTATGTTTCTAGTTTTGGCATTATAATTTATGAAGGTCATTGGAAAACTCAAGTGTCCAAATAGCCTGGTTATATAATGGAAGCACTAGAAATCACATTATCTTTATCACTCTCATAAAAATCCATTGAGTGTGATGTCTTTGCAAAGTTCTATTTTGTTTCATATAGATTATCCATATGTATATAAGATAGTACAACAACTATGAAATAGGTAATCCTATAATTACTTCAATTTAAAGATAAGGAAAATGTTAACTATGAAAATATTAAGTAACTTGCTCAAGATGATCCATCTATTAAATGATAAAAGCAGGTTCCAGAGCCAAAGCCTATAGTAATAAACTATGCTGGAAACCTTAGTTACTTGCTTGAATAAGACAAGTTATCAGGGTCCAGAGGAAGACAGTGGCTGAGAGCAAAGAAAGAAGATTGGAGTGTTCAGTTGATGAGCAAAATATTAGATGTAAAGAAACAACATTCACGTTGTAATGCTCCTAAAAACAGGATTATAACAATAGTAGGGCTGGATATACAGGAATAAATATCTATATGATGTGATACAAACCTTTACAGCCTTATTTTTGTTTAACAAGACCACAGGTAGCCTCTCAAAACATACTGTGAATACTTTGGCCCTGAATGTTTCTAGACATTAAAGAAATTTCCTAAATTGAAGAGAACATTGGAGTGTATATGACCTCTAAGCTAATAAGTGATCTCCAAGATGCTTTGGATGCACAAGTTAGCTCTTTTGAACTATCACAGTAGCTGAAGAGATTTAAAGATATAATTTTTAAGTGCTCATGTTGAAGCATAATGAAGATAAATGGTTGGATCCAGGTAAAGAATTAATTTAGTCATTGAGCTGAGCTCCTGAATTTAGTCTCCGCATTTCTTTCAAACCATCTCCTAAAAAATGTCTTAGAGACAAAGCTGGCCGAGACCAGTCTACATCCTAATTAAGTAGAGAGTTGTTGTTCTTGAATTTATTTTTGTACTTGGAAGACACATTTCTTCCTCTGCAGCTTAACGGAAGTACTGGTGAGGTGGCAGCAAAGCAAGATAACCATTTTCAAGGAGTAGCAAACGCTAAAGCTGACCTTGTAAGATCTGGAAAAGTGAGCAATTGTGTCATGCTTGAAAGCTGTAATCGTGCACTGTGTATGCAGAAAAGCCTGGATTCCTCCTCAGAGAAGGCCTATTGCTCCAGAGAACTAGTGAGGGAGAGCATGGAGGGGCTGAAAGGTACTGACCCCATACAGCTCAGGTCCTTTCCTTGCATAACCCTTAGCTTCAGTATGCAGGAGCTCTCCAGAATGGTGGGGCAGTTAGAAGATGTCAAAGTGCAAAGTTTCAAAGAACACATTTGACTAAGTCTTAATAATGGCTCCTGGGCTGAGGCTGTGTCTCTGCGGTGTGGTGCTTGCCTAGCACCTGCGGGGCCCTGGGTTCGATCCTCAGCACCACATAAAAATGCATGGATAAAATAGGGGTATTGTGTCCATCTACAACTAAAAAATAAACATTTAAAAAAACATTTCACAGAGTACAATGCATGTTTAGGATGGCATCTCATCTAAGCCTTCTCAACATTTGATACACAAGGGAAACTCTGACTTTAAAGGTTTACAATGGTTCTTTCATAGATAGTATCTTTTTATGTATCTTCTAAATGACCCTGAGATGGAGATGTTATTAAACCACATTTTTAACTGAGCTCAGAAAAACTATATATAGATTTACATGCTAAAGCGTCTATGCCAAGTGAATCTAGGACTGTTGTTTTGTTTTTGTCATCAAAGTTATTATAATCAATTGAGAGATACAGAGCAATTTTGTATAATAGAGAAATATTGGGAGAACAAATAGTTTAGAAATATTTTAATGATTATATTATGAAAATAGTATTCTGGTTATTGCAGGAAATGTGGAACACATTGAAAAAAAGCCTACATAAAGAAATAAAAAGCATTTATTATTCAACCAAAGAAACCATACTTAAATTTGTGGTACAGTTACTTTCAATAAATGCATACATTCAGATTATATAGTTGAGATCATAATGTATACAATGTTATCTTCCTTGTTTTTCATGGGAATTTTCTATTTTATTTAATATACTTGGTAAGTATCATTTTAATAAAAGACTAGAACATATGAATATAGTATAATATACTAAACTTATTATGGGCAAATCTCCTTGCATGAAGTGTACACATTTTGTATATATGGCTGGTATTATTCTTTGTAATTTCTGGAAGAGGGAATGCCTATAGCAAAGAGCACAATTACTATTAATGAACTTTCCACACATTGCCAAATTGATTTCTAGCAAAGTGGTACCATTTCATCTTTGCAAACATTGAAGATTGTCACAAGAGTTTAATTCACTGATTTGATAGATGAAGATCTTATTGCTTGTTTTAATGTTTGTTTATTTGAAAAATAAACAAACATTAAAAAAAATTATTTGACAGCCTGGTCACTGTACCTTGTCAAGACAACTCATTGAAGACTTGAATGAAAGAAGTATCTGTCACGGGCAGTCTGCGATACGAATTTCCCTCCAAGGGCAGAGACCCAACAATCACAAGTAACTCCCAATGGGCCAAGGTAAGTACTTCAAAGTGAGGGAGATTTGGCTATTGAATACAGTGCAGGGAGCATGGCAGGGGCCAAAGCGTGCCTGCCCTTTGTCAGCTTGTGTCTCTTTCTTCCACTTTGAGTATTTTTTATTGAGTTAAGCAGTTTCAAATGCCTTCTGTGTGCCCTGCATGCCTGCATCAAGCATTCTTCCAGCATTTATTTCACAGCATGGATTCTCTGTTCCAGAAGCCTTGTCTGCACAGAGCAAAACAAGAATGGGTTCCCAGTAGAGAAACTGCGGATACTTGGTGACCCTGAGGAAGTGCCACAGCCAGTGTGTCTTTGGAGGCACTGACTTCAGTCATGTGTCACTTTTCACAATAGAAAAATCAAAGTGTCATTAACTTTCATCATTATTTGCTTTTTTTCTTTTAAATTTGACAGTTTTCTGCCCTTATTCTTATGTTTTCAGATTAGTAATTTTAAAATGTTATTATGGAAAATTTTAAATACGCAGTAGAGAGTAGTGAACTCCTTATACCCATTACTCAGCTACACTCAGCTACACACATTCCACTCAAGGGTGCTCTGGTTTGATTTATTCTAGCTCATCTCCAACCCCCACAAATACATCATTTCATCCATATATATCTCTAAAAGATGACTTTAAAAAATTGTAATATTATCTTGCCCCAAATAATTCTTTAAAATCTTCCAATAATTAGATACTCCTTAAATTTTCCCGATTATCTCATTTTTTCCCCATTTTTCTTGAGTAGAAGTCAACATAAAATTTACACCTTACAAAGTTGTTGATTTGTCAAGGACACGTATTTTTAAAAATTTTTATTAGGTATTGATGGACTCTTATTTATTTATTTGTTTATATGTGGTGCTGAGAATTGAACCCAGTGCCTCACACATACTAGGCAAGCACTCTACCACTGAGCCACAACCCCAGCTCCAAGGACATACATATATTTTAAAAGTATAGTCTCAACTCTCCTTCTTTCTGGCAGGCATACTGGGTACTTTCAGTGGGAAATGATTTTTAATAAATGCTTATAGTGTGAATGCCAAGGGTGCTTATTGTCACTGTGATGGTTATTATTTCTGGATAGAACTCACAAGTATTAGAAGGATATTTTTGTTTTGCTTGTACAGTTTTAATTGCTATTTATTTATTATTTATATAAGTCTTTTATTCCTCCCGCTGGGCATTAGGACTCTGTACTTGCTTAGTCCAATAGTCGGTGTGATTGTTATAACTAAGGGCATTTCAGGTCCTTTAAAGTGTGAGAGGGGGAATGTATCACTGTATGATATGAGTCTCAAAATATTCCTTTACATTCTGCAACATCAATGAATTAACAAGAAAAAAAAGAAGGGAAGAAGAGACTGATATTATTTGGAATAACACTGAGTAATAATGGAGCTACAAGAATCTATTGAAATCATCCAAGTTGGCTTCTTACTTTTTAGGCAGATGCATCATGGCCAGAGAGATGACTGGCTCAAAGTGACCTACATCACTGATTCTTAAATTTTAACATGGCCAGGATGTACCTGCACCATATATTTAATAATACCAGACTGTTGCGCCTTGCGCCAGAGCTCCTGATCAGCAGGTCTGGATGAGACTCTAGTGAGGTTGATGCTGCCAGCACATTGACTGAGTGCCACTGGTCTACATGTTGTCTTATGAACAGCCACAGTAAGTTTTCTCCTGAGCTGAAGTCTTGTTCAAGTACAGATGAACTCACTTTATGCTACCTGGGAGAGGATTCTGGAATAATCAAGGGAATCAGGAACAGATAAACAGTGGGTTGACCCAGTGCGTACCTTTCTGGAGTGACTTTTTAGGGAGAAGATCTGCCTGCTGTTCTGAGTCTAAATCTACTTGGGATCTTCAATTTTCCATCCCATATTCATTCCTTTGGGTCAACTCCTCTTAAAAATCAAGCCCTTTAGAAAAATTCTACCTCTCCTGGCCAATTTAAGTCATTGATCTCAACGTCTGCCTGTTTCAAACTTCACCTGGGAGCTTCCTGCAAGTCTCCTAGCTGCAGGCAATTTTTCTCTGAAATCCCACAGCCTCTGCCTGTCTCCTGGTTTTTGCCAGAAATACTTCTTACAGGATTTATTTAAATGTTATTGAATAGGAAGTGATCTAGCAAACTAGGTGTCTCAGAGATGCAAATTTTTAACTGCAGACAAAATATTACACTGAATTTTCTGAACAACAGCCCAAGGGTTTCATTAAATGCAGCCAGAATTGCTGGAGGTTTAAGAACTCAGTCTTCAATTCCAGAATCCCCAACTAAAAACCACTTTAGGACTTTGAAGTTTCTAAATATTTTGTAACTTTTTCCAGAAATCTATCTTTCATATTTCTTGTCTATTAGTTAATTAGTGGTAAAATCTCAAAACCAATGGGCAGGTCTTAGGAAGACAGACTCTGCCCTAGAGAGAAGCACCAAGACAAAGAGTGGGCAAGACACTGACTGGCCTTGGGACACAAGTGAGCTTGCAGTGACTGGGGTCCTGCCTGTGACCCTCTTGGAAACAAAGGTTTATCTCCTACCTTTCCCCTGGGTTTGCCCTAATAGGTGATGTATGCTGCTGTAGAGAGAAGAACCAGAGGATTGAGAGTGGTTAAGGGACTCAAGACGTGTATGCATGGGGAACACATGGGACAGATAATCCAGATGATGGAAGGAGCAAAGACAAGAAGGATAGCAAGAGGATTTCTTTTGCCTACTTAATATTGCTTTTGTTTGAATCACAGAAGTTAGAATGGCATTCAGCATACACCCCATCTCTCTCTCTTTCTCTAGATATATATCAGTGTGTCAGGTCATGCATCAAAGGCCTTTTTTTTCTTTTTTTATTTTAAAAGCAAACCTGATATCTGAAAGATGACAAAGAGTGAATGCCCTTCTGGGAATTATTCATGAGCAGATGGGGACAATAATTTAAAAATCAAGATGCCTCTTAAGAACATTGTGTTCAGTTAGCTACTGCCACCAAAATACTGTGTAATAAGTTATCCCAAGACACAATAGCATGAAAGATCAATTATTTATCTTCATAGACCTGTGCCTTGGCTAAGGGTCAGTCATTTGGTCTGGCTCAGCTGGGTGGCTCTGCAGATTTCAGCCTGCTCCCATGTCTGCTATCAGTGGACTGAGGCTGGGCTCTTCTGAATGATGGAACCTCACTCCCTGAATCTTTTGTCTTCTCCTGGGACCATGGCTAGTCCAGCATGCTTTTCTCATGGTAATGTGGGAGACACAGGGGTATGTGCACAAACACTAACCCTTAAGGCCCATAACTTCCACCTTTGTCTATTGGCCAGAGCAAGTCACCTGGCAAACACAAAGCCAAGGGCCAGAAGCACATGCTGTTTCTGAAGTAGGAGGAACTGCTAAGTCTCCTGTGGTGGTAGTGGTCAAGTTATGCAATCAGGGATGGATAAAGAATTGGGCAAATCAGGCCCCTGAGCACAAACGTACACAGGTTTTATCAATTAAGTTCAACTTTGTTACATTTAAGGAAATGCAGATACAATATCATTATATTCTAAGCTAATTAATAATGCTTTGATATGAGTAAACTGTTAAAAAAAGAGAAGTAACTTTTAGCCCATCTGTCTATATCTGTTTGGTCTTTGTTCAAATTTCTTTTCTTCTTTTGCTGTTTAGATCGTTCTAATTACTTTTTCTGTGTTCCACATGCTTCCAATGCTGTACTTGCTTGCCTAGAGTGTTATTAGTCAATTAAAATTCTCAGACACTGTATTTGTCATTGCTTCATCACATTAAATATACACTGTCTTCAGAGTTGCTGCTAAAGAGCCTTCAATTCACTCTGTAAAATACCTGTCAATCACATATTTGTATAACTGACACCTTATTTCTCTCTCTCCTTGACTATTCTGTGTAATTTGTTAGTGTTTATTATGGAATTTCCTAATGCAAGTTTCTAAACTGGATCCCTTGCATCTCTTTATTGTCTCCTTTAATGATCACAACAATCCTGCAATATTGATAATGAATTTTCCTTTGCACAAACTATACTTAGGGAGATTAAATGAATTGCTAAGACCAAAGAGGTAATAGCATTGAAATTCAAACACAGATTTTTTCAGCTGCAAAGTCAATGGCTTTTCTACTATTTTTCCATGTTTCTTGCTTCATCTTCCCCCACCTCCCATACACATTTCGTTTTCTAGAGAGTCCGCTGAGACAGAGTGCTGGACAGATTTTTATGCCAGATATTTTGGTAGCAGATCCTTTGTACTCTCTTAAGAGCCTATGGGTTTGGCAAGGCACACATTATTACTATTCTCTCCGAAGCTGAGTGTACTAATATTTTGAAATGAAGAGATTTACACAGCCATTAAGTGGTGAGGCTGGGATGCAGGCTCAGTATATTTTTCTACTTTATCATTTAAATTACTGTATTTAATCATGGCAATTGAAAGTATGAGAGTCCACAATTTTGTTAATGGATTTAGTCAGTTGGTTTGGACATTAAAGGACTACATTTTCTTTATAAGATTCTATAAGAACTTGAGAATAATGAAAAAGTGGCTGTTCCTTATATTTCAACAACCTAAAGATATATTAGTCAAGGAGAATTACTATGCAGTCACATAGTCCACTATGTTCTATAGCATTAGATTTACTATAGGAATTTTTAGTACATTAGCAGTCTTGGTAAATTGTTGCTGATTGCATAACTTTGTGAACAACTTAAGTTATAAGAACAGTCTAGATAACTTAAATTTATCTAAGTAAACTTCAATAAAGAAAATTGCAGCTTCTTCCCTTATATTATCTTCATTTTCCAATGAACACTTTGCATTGTAAAGATATAGCCCAAGAAACCACAAATTTCTTTTGTGCTGTTTTGATCTTCTACTAGTGTAGAAAGCAGTGTTACACCATGCTTTGCTACTGTGATGTGTAGAAACAGGATGTAAGCTGTTAGATTTTTTGCAACACCTTCCCATTAATCTGTGT